ATAAGAAGAGCTAACAAATTTACTGTCTGATTCTGGGGGTTTTATGTGCTCAGAGCAATACCTCTTCAGCCATCCTGTGTGCTTCTAGAGCTAGCCAACTTGCCTGTGAGTTTTGTCCTTTATAGGCAGTGCTGTCGCTTAGTCTGTTCTTCTACCAGAAAGCTTAGATCTTGCTGTATATCACAAGAGTAGGACATGGCTTACCTCTAAAGCTCAAGGATTTACTCTGTATTTCATATACTGAGGGAGGTAAGAAGAAATCAGTGGCTGATAGCTCTGTTCTTAAGGAGGAAATATGTCCACCATACTGGATCAGTCAGTTAGTTTTGAGGAGTTTGTAATAATGATGGCTCGGTGAAGATATGTCATGGGCCAGTTGGTTTTGTTTAGCTGTGATCTTGTACAGCAGGTTCAAATGTATGTTGCAGGAGAGCTTAATACAACAAAAAAAATCATCAAGTTATTAGACAGAAATATCTGACCTGTTTTCGGAAGCCCTGTGGTCTCCTGGCCACAGCGTGCAGAATCTGAATGAACTCCTACTCTCTGCTTGCTTTGTTTTACATACTCTTCCCTCACTGTCTGCTGGTAACTGTCAGAGGCTAATAGAGATACAGGCTTCTAGCCTGCCCCTGTACCATCATTTTTATAAAACCTGTCCCACAGTAACACTTTGAGCGACCTCAGAGTACTTTCAGATATTTTTTCCAGATGTTTAACTCTCCAAACTCAAGCACCGCCATGGAGTGCAAGATGACTGATGGTGTGCACAGAGCTGAGTGTGTGCATTGATATGTCTGTATACAGCTGACAGATTAAACAAACCTTGAAGTTTACTGGCCAGGTCTTCTGTTTCAGTCTATGACTGCGAAATAACTGTTTAAGAACAGGCAAGGTGTGCGTGATGCTCAGTACAGTCTAGACTTAAAAACCTAGCTTAAGAAACAGCTCATGCAAAGAGTATTCTAGAAATTGTATAGTGAAGGAAGGGAGAGACTGATCTTGTGCCCTTTAAAAAATGCATGATAACTTTCTAAAAATTGTCGACTCTATCTTAAAGATATCGTGCGGTAAATGGCATGATGCTGTCTGCTGGCTTTCGACTCCTTGCTTATGAAGTGGTTGACTTTTAGCCTCTAAATGTCTTCCATTTTTGTGGGATTGATTTTTTTTTTTTGCCTATTAAGCTAGTCTTCAAACAGGATTGTTAATAAACAATTTTTTCAATCTCCTCCTACTACAGAAACAGTCCCTTGTAAATGCTAACATTGAACTTCAATGAAGAAGTAATCTTAGTCAGCAAAACTATAACAATACCCTTTTTAAAAGGACAGACCACACCTTATCTTTGATGGCAACTTAATACAGTCTCTCTGAATTATATGCCTCTGTCAAAGCAAAATTAAATCTTTGGAGGTAAAATTCAATGTTAACTTAAGAATATTTCAATTTCCTACTACTACCCTCTGACAAACATGCATGATATGTGAATTGTATTGTTTTAAACATCTCATGAAGGCTAGCTCTAGTGTAGCTGAGAAGTGATCATTTCAGCTGATAGAATCACAGCTGCCCTAAGATGCCTTTTTGGTTTAATATTTGGGATGTTCTCTCCAAATAGTACTGTTCCTGTCACACTTCTGCACTCTTGTATTATGGTCTGATTTTTTTTTATTAATCCCTAATGGTACAAGCACATACCTCTTAAGCCAAGCAAAAAAACTGCCACTACAATGCGTTGAATAGACCAAGCAACAAATCCTGTTGCGAGCAACTTTCATATTTAATGCATCTCTGAAGGTCAGGAGGAACAGCTGCCTGTCATCCTGCTGTTCTTGCTCTCTCTGAGGATGGTTACCTTATTTTTGAACCCTTGCTTGTTTCCTAGGTGATCCTACTGAAACACGCAGAGGGCTCTTCTTGAAATTCATTAGATTCTTGGCTATTTCTATCTTAAATCCACAAAGTTTTTCACTTAATAGTGAGGAAGTAAAAAGGGTGAAGGGACTTTTGTGTTAGCCATGGTTAGGAGAGGAATTTGTAAAGCATGCTGTATGTATTGCAGCAGTGCTGGGCAACCTCACATCAGCTGCACTAGGCGCTGCACAAGTATGTAGGATTTTCTCCCTTAAAGCATAAAAAGCACAGCAAAGGGGAGAAGAAATAATGTATATGAATGGGTTATGATCTTATTGACATGTACTCCTGAAATGTTGAAGATGATGTGAAAGATAGAAGGGAAAAAGATCTTCCCCCCACCCCCTTTCTGCAGGCTCACAGGCTATCGCAGAGCTCCTGAGCTTTTCTGAAATGAGTAGAACCTCCAAAGAAGGCATGGCTTAAAACATAAAAGCAGAGCCAGTGCCATAATGCTTGCTACTTGATCTTGTGTGGGTGGCTCTCTTAACCAGTTGCAGTCAGTGCCTTTATTCATTGTTCAGGAGCTTTTTGAAACATCTGAGCTTCAGCTCCAAAATGAGTCACAGGAGCTTGCTGGAAGCAGAGTTGTTTGTTATTTAGAACTTCTGAGTTTAATGTTTATTACTACTGAATCTGGGTGTTCTTGCTGTCCTGGATGCAGATAGCCCACTATGAAGCTTAGACCTGGTTATGCTAAGGTCTTCCTGTTGGAGAAAGCAGAACGGTACTCCTAAATACTTTCTTCTTCCTCAAAGTTTTGGCCCAATAATTGGTTTCTTGGTAACTGATTAATATCTTCATTTGATTAGTCTTATATGTGGGTCTTGTCTATGATATCTATTGTAATCTGGAGCTGTGACCTCTTATAATGTAGTCTATAAAATATTCAAACAGTTTTGAGTGTAATTCTACAAGTCTAGGAGTTGTCTGTGTTGCATCACTGAGGGACTGAACAAACATGGCATGTCCAGTTTATACTGGGGACACCTGGATAAAAATTGATGCTGCAGCTTAAAAGTGCTGATGGGAAATAATGCTCACCTTATGTGGATGTCAGTAGACGTACTCACCTCTTGCTGACCCCCCCTCAGAAAAATACTCTTTTCCATCTGAACATCGCCTTGAAAGTCATGGGATGAAATCTGAAGTCAGTGGGAGTTTTCTGTGAATTTCAGAGGTGCCGAGATTTTCTCTGATAGTCTTGCCTTCTAAAAATGATAGATATTTTATTGTGTGTGTTTGTTGTAGACGGAGCTGCTGTTCTAGGATATGTTCTAGACTCAGTCTGCTCTTTTGCAGTTTAGCTTTCTGCCACAGAGCTTTTTGGTTTGAGCTTGGGTGTGTGGCAACCAGAAGTAAGCAGCTGCTGCAGTGCTCTCATGTCTGCCTCTCTTCTGATTCTGAAAATGAGGACCAAGAGCATGTTTTGACCTCTGTGGCATCACTCAAAGGCCATTATCCCGAGGATGCATTGTATCTACTTATAGTTAATGTTACTAACAGAAGAAAGGAAGAATGTTCTTTTTATGTAAAAGCAAGACTGAATCTTAATCATTAGACCTAACATTCATAAGAAGGACTATCAGATGCTTTTATTGTGGCAATCCAGTGCTCTGCTTGTGTGGATTGTGCTTCCCAAGATTTGCTGGACTGCAGCCTAGCTACGTTGTGTGGGAGCCTTCCCACAGGACACATGTTGGTGCTACGGCATAGACGAGGGAGCGTTTGTGTGTACCTCTGGTAATGTCATAGCCCTCTCCTGGGAGGAGATGATCAGCGGGATGGAATTGTTGCTCGGTATTGGCAGATGTTATCTCACTGCTATGAAACACTAATCAGCTTAGCAGGAGGCTCTGGTTTCTCAGCCCTCAGCTGACAGGGGTAGAGAGGAAGGAGGAGTAATCCAATTGAATTGGAAATGCACCCTTGACTTTGCTTCTCATGTCACCTCTCAAACCATAATAAAGGGAGAAGCACTTGGGAAGCAGGACCATCTCATTTCATTTGTACAGTGTCAGGGTAATGGTATCCAGTTCCCAGCTGGTTGCATATAAGGTACCTCAGAACTAACTCTTTTGAGGACTGCATCACTGCCCTTTCCTGGTCACAGGCAGAGTGAGTGACAGGATGGACTATTAAAGAACAAGGTAATTTCTCCTTGCAAAGGGTATTTTAACGTATTGGAGAGAGAAATGAGCTAGGTTCTACTTTTTACTCACTCCCTGTTCGTGCTGTTAGTGCACAAGGATGACTTTTGTCTTTGTGATACTTTGAGAATGAAGGCAGAAATTCTGCCAGAGTGTTTTGGGAGATGATGACAGTTCAGAGAGGTATTACAGAACTGAGCACTAGAATAGCTGAAAAAACTGGGGGCTTTTGCTCCAGTAAGTGTTGGTGCATATGTCTGTTCTAGTAAGTGTCTTCCAAATGTACAAGCACTGTTTCTTCATGGCTGAGTGAAATAAAAGCTCTCTAAACTTTAAAAAGCAATTTTGCTCTGTAATGCAATGGTGCAAATGGCACCAAGTCCTGTTCATGGATCTTTCACCAGAAGTAGTTGGCATAGAGCTGCTTCAGTAACACATGAGTTAACTGCAACAGTGTTAGGAAGTGAACTGGATTGTTTCCCTCATAGGATCTGATAAATAGAATTCTTGTGTAAACACTAATAAAAGATGAAGAGATTTGGACTGGGTCAGTTGGTAACTCAGCTGATGGGATTCTATTACTGTTAATGATGTGTCATAATGAAAACACAAACTGAATCTTTAGGACAGGTATGTATGCAGGGTCCATGCTTGTAACTGTAGACATCTGGTTTGGAAGCACACAAGATGGGGTACAGAACCTTGCTATGCTGGATTTTTAAAGTCACCTTTTAGAATAAGCAATTTTTTTAAAAAGGTGCCCTTAGGTGGTAGACATGTTTCCTTTATTAATATTCCCTTTATTAACTTGTGTGGGATCTTTTTTTTACTATTTATTTTCTACTCCTTTTCAAGTATTTTAAAAACCAGATTTAAATGTAACACATTGTTCTCTGTTTTCAGAAATGAATAAAGCTAGCAGCTGTACGTAATATGCTGATGGCATTCTGCGCTGCATCGGGATCAAGAAGTCAGGAGAGTGTGATGCCTAGAAATCTCTCGGATGAAATGGCATCTGAAATCTCTCCAAAGCACACACGTGGGAGCATGGAGAGGGGTGGCAGTGTGGAGAATCATGGCAGCCAAGCTAGGTGCAGAAATCTTGCCTTGGTAAGTATTTAAGGAGCCTTATGCTTGGTGATGCAAATTACATTTGTAGCTTTGTTCACATCACAGGATTTATTTTTTATAAACTGTTGATTTTTGCCATTTCTAGTCCTAAATGGTTGCTTGTGGTCTTGGTTGTTAACAAACTGAAAGGCCAGAAATAACTACTCTGATTTGGTACAACTGGTTTGCTGGTTATTCTGGTCTGATTGTTTCCAAGAGCTTGGAGCGTGCTTCTCTCTGACCATTTCTCTCAGAACCAGGAACAGCAGTAAAGAGCACGTATTACATTGGGCTACTTGGTGCAACCACCGGCATTCAGGGCACAGTTTGATGCACATCTCTGCCTTTGCTTTCTTAAGTAGCTTGTAAAGGAACTTAAGGATAGTGTTGGTTCTATATGCTGTTTCTTGCTTAAGCTCATTGTTGACACTATTGAATGAAGGTCTCTGCTTATTCCACCTTCATATAATTAGGTGAGTAACAAATACATCACTATAAACAAAGCTGTCTTTGCATTAGTGGATATGAGTGTGTGGCCATTTAAATAGTATGTGAGTAATTGAGGGAGTAGGATGCACTTCTTCATTTTTCCAATTAGCAGGATGATTCAGGCAATGAACTCAACAGTACTGTTTATACTGTGACAGGGTAAGTCTAGAAAGCAGGTATGGTTCCTTGCATATTTTTTTTACCATCACAACCATTTGAAAAGCATCCATTTTCAATTGAAGAAAGAGCATTCCAGTAAACATGCTTTCCCTAAATGGAAATCTAAATCTCTATCTTGCCTTAAACATGGAAATGGGCTTTTTGTATCTTTCCCTCTGCCCTCCCTGCTAGCTTCCTTTTAGTGAAGTAGTTTTCTGTGAAGGAATAAGTGGCGGAAATAAGTTGGCAAGTTGATACCTGTATTTATCTATATAACTCAGAAATGCTCAGTGTTTTTGTGCTACTTCGTGAGCTTTCTGGCAGCTGGAGATAGTTCTAAAGATGTTCCTTCTTCATTGTCTCTAATGAGAATACAACTCTGTTACTATTATGCTGTGTCCTTCAGCTTGCGTTGCTAGTTAAAACACAAAATGAGTATTACTAAATTTAGTCCCTTAACTGTCTCTGATCTGTGCTAGAAAAAAAGTTGTGAAGGGTCAAGGTGGGGGAGGTTGAGAGCATAGCCAAGTACACAATTTGGACACAGGTATTTAGAGTATGTTGTTTACTATATGAAAACTGATTGGATCTTAGAGAATTACAGTGGGAGTTGCACTTTGTTAAACAATTACGATTTAATTTTATGCAGAATTACAAGTTAATTTTGTGCATTACTGACTGCAGTTTTCCAGGTTATCAAACTAGTAGTCAATCATGTTTCCATGGGTTGTATTCTTAGCTGCAGTAGCAGGCATGAGACTAGTCATTTGAAAAAATCAGTATTGAATAACGGGGCTATGTATAAATGAGTGTCTTTGTGCAGTCTCATCCTGAGTCTGCCGTGTCAGAAAATGACATAGATTCCCTTAGTCTAACTAGATCTTGCCATGTGATAACCGATATGATGATGCATCAGCTAGAATTGGAATCTCTTCCTACTCTGTAATGCAGTAATTTATAGATGGAGTAAAAGCTGGCTGTAGGTTTAGGCAATTCCCATCAGACCTGTGCATCAGCAAAAGAAGTTCTCGAAGCCTTTAGTTTGTCTTGTTTAAGTTCATGCATAAAGAAAGGGAAGCATGTACCAGGGGGTTTAACTGTGGTGCCACAGATCCCCTTCCATGACTGTTCTTCCAGCAATATAGCAGATGACATGTCCAATAAGGCTGACAGGTAGCATGTGTGGATTAGCAGGTTAGGGAATGGAAACCCTTTTCAATAAAGGTATAATTTCAGTTTCTGAGTTTGAGAAGGAGTCTGTGTTGAACTGAATGTGAAGGAAATTCTGCCAGTTGTGATTGAGTAAATAGTAGTCAAGTCTTTAGTGCTGCTCAGATCCTTCCTTTTTGTGATCTGATGTAAGAAAAGAGTGTTGTTCCACTGGCTGATATATTTTGTCTGTTTAGCACTGAAACAGGTTTTAGAAATCCTCAGGAGAAAGAGAGGTATTCTTCAAATATTTCTTTTTCTATATCCTTGTATAATTGTGTATTAAAAGCATCATTTTTTTACAGTTCACTAAGCAGATCAGGGAGTTGGTAAGAGGAACATGTTCCAGCAACTAGCTTTCCCTAGAAACCTTACCTTCTTGCTTCAGTAGTTTTATTATAAAAGTTCAGAAGATGCAGAAGCTTTGATGGCCTAAGGAGAAGATAGATAACTTTATGTAGACAAATAATCTATTATTACACCGAATCTGAGAAAGGAAGGGGCAGATTTTCAGACACACCAGACCTTCATAGCCCTGAAGCAGAAACAACTACCAAGTTACCTGCCTCTTCATTTATTACTTTTCTGGGTCTGTTCACCTAGAGACACAGCAAGGAAGGTCAGGGTTGGCTCTGAGTTTGTTGGTTTGTTTTTTTTAATGGCCTTGCAAAGGAAAGAAATGTAGCAGTGCTTTTTATGACAGGCCTGTACTGCTGCAGGTTTCATCCTACTCGATTACAAAAAAGAGGCTCTTAAGCTTCTTGGTGTCAAACTACATTAGTCACTAAATATAACCTTTGTATTGCATCTGTGGAATTCAGACAAATCTAGGGATGTGATAATAGAGACAAACACTTAGACTGGCTTTAGCCTATGCTGACTGCTTAGAGCTGGTTTGGCTGACTGTTGGCTGTTCTTGCATACTGGGTGTCTGCGCTGGCATTACTTGCTGTGGAACTGGTTGTGGGTTTAGGAATGATGAGGAGGTGGACATGAATTGCCATGTGTGAAAAAGGTCTTAAAATTCTGTGTGTGTGGTTCTTACCAGTCAGCTGTTGTCAGTTCAGTTTAATTTTGCCAGATTTCTCAGCTGCTTCTTACCTACACAATGGGGCTTTTAGTTAATCTTTGAGAATTGCAGTCCTTAAAGCCAAATTTATTTTTTTTAAATGGGAAGCAAGGTTCTGCTGTGATTGCAGTAGATGATTGCAGTAGAATTTTCCATATAAATGATAAATGTTCAGGTCTGGATTTATGCTGCCAAATCTATCCCAGCAGCTGAAGACAAGTAGAAGAGCCTATGGTTAGATGGGAGGAATGTTTGCCTTGATATTTTCATCTCACGCCAACTTTTATAACCATAAAAGTTCTTATATAAGAGGACATGAATTTGCACATATATTCTGCTTGCTTTTTAATGAAGGTGGTATCCATAGATATGCTTGGCAAAAGCATGAGACAAATATACCTTCTGGATACATGGAATCACTTGCACTGTGCAAGGGGGAGGGTAAACAAAAACATTGTGTTCTACTTTGCAATTCTGGCTTCCAAAACCCATTCTTGAATGACACTCCCTGATACATGGTATAAGAATTAACTTGCAGTGAAATATGGTTGCAGCCTTTGAAGGACACTTAATTCAGAGATAAAACTAGGTCTTGGCTTTTTTGAAGCAATTTGTCTTGTTCCATTGACCAAATAGCCACAGACCAACTTCTTACAGCCAATCCTTCTTTTTCAGTGCTTCACTCTGGTAATTGTACTGTGTATCTGTTCTCAGCCATGAATAACTACGTTAGTTTCTAGGTGTGAATAACATGCTAGGACAATAGTATCACCTGCGAAATCATACCAGAAGGTGCTGGTTGTACCTAAAGTGAGCTGTGCTACTTAGAACTGAACTCAATAATAAGCTGTGTGAGTGCCTTGGATCTGTTGATAGGACTTCAGTACTATACCTTCTGTATCTGAACATGCCTTACTGAGCGATAGGTTTGAGGGATAGTGAGTTTTTGTTACACTCAATGGGTCATGCTGTGTTGGGATTTTTTAATTAATTTTATTTTTGCCTTTGGTTTAGACAGATCCTCAGTTAATGCTGCAGTTCATCACCACTCTTTTTGGGACAGTGGTGACCTCCAGAATTTGGTCAAGTGACTATTTCTTTTGGTCATTAATCAAGTGACTTAAATTGGCAGATGGCCACAATTCTAAAAAGATGTCTTGCTTATTCTGTTTGTTATTTCTTCAAATAAACTTCCCCTGTGGCTCTAACAAGACTTGATACCCAGTCACTGAAGATGGTTTGTCACTACCACATACCTTGTATAGTAAAAGTGACATTTTGAACATTGGTTACATAGACAAGAAGAGTTAAGTATTTTGTGCATGATCTGAGCTGGCTCAGTACCTTACTTCAAATGTTCAGCCATTAACTCAGGGTTGACCTGGTTATTTTGTAGTTATGATGTCTCTTGGAGCCTAAAAATTAGTTGCTATGGCCTTTATCCTTTTTGGATCAGTACAGATAATTCAAGTGCAACAGACCTGGGTTTCTAAGTGCACAGTGTTACTGTCTCTTTGCCCCAGCCTCTCAGAAGAGGTCTTGGGATTCCAGTGTGGTTTTAGGAGTTTCTGGAAAAGGACAGACTGTGTGTGTTAGCCCACTGCCACCTTTTTTTCCTCTCAGTTTGAGTGTGCAGAGTCTTGTGATGCTGAGCTGCACTTCAGGTACATTCAAGGGAAAGTCCTGAGAGACTCCTTTCATAAAATTAATGTGTTTTTCCTCCTTGATACTCATAATCTGCAGGCTTTAGTGTTCTGCGAGGTCTTTCACCATGTACAAGTACTTGGCCAAAAAACAATACACAAAAAAAATGTGAAGAATTTTTATGACTGTTGGATACTTTCTATGGATACAGCTGTCTTTGGGCAGGTGGAAGCCGTTCTTTACAGGGTGTGGAGAGAGCTGTGCTTCATCCACTTCAAACTTATATTAGTATGACTTGGAAGCAGTACGCCTTGGAAAAATAAGAGTCATTGTTCATACCAGCAGGGCAAGAAGTAGAGAGGAAGAGGGGCTGGAGGACCACTTGCTTTGGACCATGAGTGTAGAACTACAGTAAAGAGCCTGACTCCTT